CCTTGGATTGGCAAAGTAAGAAATTTCGGCATATTTATTTCAGCTAATGCATTTTCTGATAAAAATGATCGTATAGGTATCTACTAGAACTCTACAAGGTATTTTACCTAGATTATCTCATGATTGAATTGGCTAAGCCCTTACTTTTCTGAAGCTTAGTATGGGTTGATGGACTTAGAATGCTCTATTGACAAGAAAATTGGAACTTTTATATTGTTTTTTTTTTTTCTTTGAACTTCCTAGTAATATGAGTTTTAACTAGGCCATATCAGGGTCAATCCTTTGGGCTGCCCAGGAAAGATTTGGAAGAAAGTTTGAGAACATTAACTATATTTTTTAGTGAAGTAGGTTGCGATGTTGCTTCAATTTAACAAATTTTCAATGTGCAATGAACTATTGTCCTAGGTGGTCTATGAGCTTGAGCAATACATAATGCTCGATATTTTTTATAGTGAAGTAGTGCGTATGATGCCATTGCGTTAGTAGATTCTAGATTCACTAATACAAAGAGTGAATGTGATCATAATCCCTTAGTTGATTTAGAAGAAGTAATATTTATTCCAGTATCATACATTCTCTAGAAAAGTTGATTTGAAGGATCTAACTAGTTGTTTCAAAGTTGCGCCTAAGATATTAGAGAAGTTATGTCAGTTTGTTTAGCTTCTTCTTCTGAGCTGAGATGCTAAAAATGGATAGAAAGCTACGCTGGCAATATACTCGAACTTTTCTATGGAGATTTAGTTTTGAATCAACCTTCAACTAATATAATATTAAGGTTGTCATTGTCAATCCCCTGTTATCTAAAAGGCTAATTGATCGCTTAAAATGCTTAGTCTAATCAATATTTTTGTCAGGCATCCTTATACTACCTGTTAGGTGAGAAGTACAAGTTTTACTCTATTCATTTTTTTTTTTGATAAGGATTGGTTGAGAAAGACTTGAAATGGCTTAGTCTCTAAGCTTATAAATTTGGATTTATTGAGATAAGGTGCACGCACTACTCTTGATTAGGATAACACTCCCAGCCTCTTCAAATGGCTTTTTTTCATTTGTCCTTGGCAATGATTTTGGTGGAATAAGTGGTAAAAATCATCAAAACTATAAAATTTTCTCCAAATTTACCTAAATTTTCACTAATTTGAAACTCGATTAAATTCGAGCTGAGTTGTATTTTCAAGTTGCAATCCCAACTTGTCTTGAATATTGTTGGGAAATCAACTTGAAAATATGAATAGAAATGTCAATATTAACATACTTTATAATGTAATATAGTATATAATAGAAATGCTATTATAATATAGTAGATAAAAAAGAAATTTTGTGCCAGACCCAAATCAGCTCGCATCTGAATTCTCAATTGAAGCTTTCAAGTTGAATTGACTCGATTTAAAATAAATTTTTGGTTAAACATTTAGTTGTGATTAAAATTTTTTATTGCATGTTGAAACAAATTTGCTTGAACGTGACTCGAATATCAACTCTAACTTGCCTTTGGGAAGGTTAGGTTAGAAAAAGAATGCCCTCATGCTAAGTATCTCTTGGATGCACCAAAAAGCGCGTTCCTATTGGTTACAATTTTGTGTGCATACTGTCAATCTGGCTATATTAATTGGACATTTCAAAAATGTCAATTTGGCGAATTAGTTGGAGGTCTAGCAAGTGTATTCATATTAACGAGAAGGTCTTTCCTGGAAGTGGGGCCATCCATATTTTTCTTGCGGAAGTAATATCCCAATGACAACTTGAGTACCTACAATCCTGCTTCAACATAGTATTTTTATTCTTATTGGTTTGGTTTTGGGTTTTCTTTCCCATAATTTGAAAATTTTCAGCCTTGCTATCTTTTATGACAAGTTGAAACTAAGTCTCATGAGAAAAATTGACAAATTTACTCGACATGCTATTGATATTTGACAACAGACAAAAGTAGCACAAACCTGACCTTAAGCAGCCAAGTTTAGTCAAGCATCTAACTCTTTGCATCTATCCCTCAGAATTTGAAAGAGAAGCAGTGCATGAGTTTAACATAAACATGAGGTACATAAATTGAAGAAGTTCAATTAATCGTGAATATATACATATAATTAAAGAAAAAATGTATGAAATAACTTATTTGAGATTATAAATCTTAGATTTATTAGTGAACAAACTAGCAAGCTTGTAGTTTCCTTTTCTATGATACCCAAAATGGTTCGGTCCTCATCTGATTTAGTATTGGGCAAATGGGGTTTGGCTATGTAATAAAGATAAGGTGCGGAGCTGACATTTCGCAATAAAAGTAGTTAGATTATATTTGCAAAATAAACATCTCTCTATATTCAATATAAGTAGGTGCATACATGAATGTGTTTGTGTTTAAATTTATTAACCATGGAAAGTTGGTCTACCTGATCAAAGTCCAATTGTATTAGAAATTTGGGGGAAAGATACAATATTGGTAATGGGTGTTGGGTCATATTAATTAAACAGTGTTATAATAAGGTTCAAACCAGGCTCTTTAAGTGCTATTATAAGCTAGAAACATTCATTGCAAATCTTACAATGTATAATCAATAATGGTAATGCATGTATATGCCCTTG